GATAGGACTAAAAGGATGGTGTTGAACTATACAGCTCTTCATAATTCCAAATAATATTAAAGGTATTTGCTGATTTAAATACGTAAAATGCACAATGAATGGGGTTTTTCCCTTAAAGCCACATTCAAGATGGGGGGTTAGGAATGACCCCTACCTCATATGTTAATAACAAATAACAAAACACATGTATAAGAGGTATGCAATGCCTACCCTATTCAAGAGTTTCAAGATTGGACATGTCCAATCTTTGCTAAAATTAACTCTTGATTAAGCCATAGCTTTCTCAAAATGTAAATGCATAGAGTATGCTAAAGGATTATAAATGGAGTTTTCCGTCCTTTCAATTTCCAGAAAGTAGAAACATAGGACTAAAGAATAATCACACCACATCTTCAAATCTATTTTCAGGCATCTTTTATTCTTAACTCTAAAATTAGGATATCTTCATTTTACCTCTTACTTCATTTGGTAGCTCTCAAAAGTCATGAATAAACATAATCAAGTTGCTCATTTTCTAAAAAATGGTGTGAATCTACAAAGGCTTGTATAAATTTGGATAAAACTCTTCTATATATTTAACCTACATAACTAAAGAATGACTAAGTTTTGAAGAATCGACCTCTATGCAATGATCTCACTTCATGGCATGTTCAATTACTAACAACTATACTTTAAGAGGAAGATAGACAGCCTAACTTTAGATCAGTGTTGGTCAGCAAATATGTTGCTCATTGGAAAGCAATTGAGAAATGATCAAAATATGATAGTGAACAATATAATACACTTTAACAACTGCACAGCCTGACACCAACTATATTCAAAGTCTAACTTTATAAATTTTTATTTTTCAGGATATATACAACTATATGTTCTCATAATTAAGTTCATACCTAAGTGATAGAATTCCTATGAAAAGAAGTAAGAAAAGTAATAAATAAAATTCAGTTACTTCAATTCTTCAAGCATATTATCAAATAACTTGACTGCATTAGATGCACATAAAAAATCTCCTTATACCGTCTAAATGTTGGCTTCTTCTTAATAATTTTGCAAGCAAACTTTTACTATATTTGTGCAGGTTCTTCATTGTTTTCTGCCAACTATTTTGTTTTCTATGGTGGATTATTCTTAGGTATTAGACAATGATATTACACAATAGAAATATACAAGATTGGAAACTGAAATTATATCAAAAGTCATTTTTAATGTTATGACATATTGCTTACAATTATTGTCTAGTAGTAATAAATAATGTAACTCTTGAGTTGTTCAATGATGGACATATCAGTTACATAAAATAGAACCTACACCGATGCACATGAATTCTTATAAGAGGCGTGTGATCAAACAATCAAATTCGTCAAAATTAACAAACAATTACTATTAAGAAGCCCAAATTAAAGGTAAACAAAGTAAAAATTCAAAAACTTCATAAGTAGAATGAAAACAAAGTATAAATTTAACAACTTCAGAAGTAGAATGAAGATGTCAAAAGCAGTTATCAACACCAGGACCAACAAATAGAGCAAAAGGACGAAGAACATAGTTCAAAATTACTAACGTTCATGCAAAATTCTAGCAAAAACTGATATACACCAGGACCTACAAATAGAGCAAAAGAACGAAGAGCATAGTTCAAAATTATTGATGTTCATGCAAAATTCTAGTAAAAACTGATATACAATAAGGTGAGAATGATATCGAGAAGAAGACTAACATATATGAGCTGAGTGGCTGAATCTATCTCCATCGCCATAGCATGTAGAGTCTCTGATTCCTCCAGATCTGGAATTCTTCGAATTGTTTTTTTAGTCTCTCCCATAAAGGTGAAGAACGATTAAGGAAATCACAACCAAACATCAATAAAGTTACAATGGAGAATTTTTGGGGTGGAAATGAGAAGGAGAGAAAGTAGGGTTTAACTTTTGAGCAGTGATATAGGCAAATAGCAACTAGGAGAGCATTTTAATTTGGGGCAAAACGTTTTTAGAGTTATGTTTATATTGAGGTTATTTTTTGCCAATTAGAAATTGGAGGGAGAGTTAAATATATTGGGGGGAATACATTATTTTGGTTTAAAATATAGGAAAATTATAAGGTCACACTTGTAAAGTGTTGTTTTAAGAATTATAAAAATATCACACTTTAAAAGTGTAGTCATATGTATAAATATGCATTGCTAATTATAGGGATGAGGGTCTGAAAAATACCCTAACTTTGGTCGGATTTGCTGTTGCGATACTAAACTTTCATGAGGACCTATTACCTCCGTAGACTATTTAATACCATATTTTAAACATATATATTTGCCCACGTGGACATAAAAAATAATGCAAAATTATAAATAGTAATGTGTCCACGTGGCCACATATATACCTTTAAAATACACTATTAAATAGTTCGGGGGTAAAAAATACGGTATTAAATAGTCTAGGGAGGTAATTGGTCCTCATGAAAGTTTAATATCGCAACAACAAATCCGACCAAAGTTGGGGTATTTTTCAGACTTTTATCCCCTAATTATATCATGATGTGGAAACGCTTATAAAGTGTAGCCTATATTACTAAAGAAAACGCTTTATAAGTGTTGCCAAAATTACCGTAGCCAAATGGTAAAAACTAAGGATATGCTTTAAAAGCATAGCCAAAAATGTTTTAGGCAATACTTTACAAGTGTTGTCCAGATTTAGTGTTGTCTTAGGCCTAAAATGGTGTAGTGTATCATGAAATAACATGACTATTATAAAAAGTCATCTCTTAAGTTCTATAAATATAAGGATTCTCTAGAAGTAGCTTAAGAATAAAATCTACAAGTATATAAAGGGCTTTGTTGTATCCTGAAGAAATTTGCTTGTATTTCCCAATATGTATACGTGCAATATCTCTTTAAGAAAAGTGATTCTTCACGCCTCAAAGCATCTTCTTCTTCAATTATATTTCCAATTATTTCTCTGACTATGTGAACAATGGTGTTCAAGTTACCAAAAGAAGTGATTCTTTCCTAGACAGGCTAAAGGCTTTTTTTCTTTTTTGGATAAATGGAAATTGCCTAGCTTTACGTGCAAGTATGACAAAGCCAATTTCTTTGTAAGTTAGCGCGTTTGCTTTTATGCTTAATCAGAAGGCGTTGTATTCTTTTGTAAGCCTTCTGGTGATTCTTGGGTGATTGATTCACCTGTGGCTTTTGTGTTGTATTGAGGTCAGGCCTAGCCCTCTGCTCCTTTTTTTTTTTGCTAATACAACACGATCCAGATATAATCTGGGTAATTTATTAAAAAAAAAAAAGTTGAGTCTCTAAGGATAATAAATACACTACCAATGCTAGGGTGGATCTAGGATATCAGGTGTAAATTAACGGAACTTTTGTGCAGATTCGATATCTATATTGAGCAATATATTGTATATAATATATAACAAATATTTGTTAGAAACCCACTAACAAATTAAGTAGTTTCTTGGTCCAACGATATAAATGGAACTACTTAAGGTTTGTTGGACTCTTTGGCATAGATTGGTTCCAAAAGTTCATAAATTATAAATCATGAATTCACTTATATCCGACGTAAATTCCTGAATAAGTAACTCGAGTTTTCCATGTGAAAATGTTTTTTTGCACCCACATGGCACAAGAGATGCGCTGGGGTAAATTGGATCATTAAAAATCTTTGCAAATAAATAAAAATGAACACGCATTTTTAACGTGGATCATGCTCCGGCTCATAGATTAAAAAAATAAAAAATCACGCTGTGAAAGATTTAACAAATTAGAGTCAAATTCAAATTACAATTTTGTAGTCTAAGAGATTAACAAGGATAATAAATAGAAATTCATGAAGTAGCAAGTTATTTAAAATCTTTTTGATAATCAATAAGTAGCACTAACTTAATAGATTTGCGATAGCAATCCTCACCAGCAATCTTTTAGCGTCCCACCCACTCAAGGTAGTCCCCCACCCCCACCATATCAATATGCTGGTCCTATTTCAAAATTGGAACCACCACTTATATAAATGAAACCTTTGATTGGTGCTCAACATGTCTGTATGGACCAATTCTTTTTGTTTGAAGGGAGATTCAAAATTGTTATTATTGTGCCAGAAAAAGGATTTGCCTGAACTGTTCTGCAAGATTTTTAAAAAAAGGGAGCATATATAGAATTTAATTTGTTGCTTGAACTAAAGCACTATTGAAACTACACCAAAAATGATCTTTTCCAGTAACTAATTAATGAAAATACTTATTATCATCAAATAGGTAGTTTTAACAACAATTAACCCTCTTTGTAAATGTCCCTAAAGCCTACAATGACCGTAGACATCAAAATTTTATTAGACTTTACAAGACGTGTTCAATTCCAATTAGGGTTCTGTGAGGCTACTCAACCATAAACCCTAGTTCATGCCTATATAATGTGTATTATATTTCCTTGAAAAGACATTTCAAAATATCACATAAACTCTAATACCTAATATATAGCTCCGCCTTCGATATATATATATATATATATTCACTTATTGGATGGAGGCAGAGGGTTGGACCCCTTCGTTGAGAATTTATCCTATAAAAATAGGCCATTTTTTTTTTGCATATATTCCCTCTAGTCCATATTAAGTGAATTCTTGCGGTGGGGCGAGGGGTGTGGTTGGGGGGTGGGGGGTTAGGTACACCCTTTAAGAAAGTATATTTTTAAGGACATAATTTTTCCACTATTACCTTTTGATCATCCAAACTAATCTCTTAGAAAATGTAAGGTAGATTTAAGACCCTCATAAATAAAGGGTAAATATAGAAAAATGTCCTAACAATTTTCTTAAACTTCGAAGAATTTACTTATTTTGAACTATGAAAAAAGTCTCAACAATTTACTTAATATGAACTTGAGAGAGTAACATATAAGTTGTTGAATTTTCATGACATAAGATCCTTTTATTTTTATTTTTGAATTCCTGGCTCTGCCACTATAAATACATATTCAACCGACGACATCTCTTAAAAAGTAATGCAAAATAAACATCAATTTTGTGATCGAAAATAAACGTCTTAAAAGAATCCAACGACCCAAACTCTTACACTGATAGAGTTGTAATACTAATACATTACTTAACATAAAATTCTACATACGTCACTGAATACACAAGAAGGAAGTAGCATTATTGTTACTTAAACTTGGTCTGGCAGGGTAGCATGTTTGTTTTTTGTAACCTTGTTGGTCATGCTATCTTTATATTCTCCATAGAAATAAGAAGCAAAACCCCAAAGACACATAGCTAAAGCCATCCACTTATCAGAATTGAATCTTTCAGGCAAGAACATAACAGCAAATATTTGTTGTATTGGAACAAGAAGAGCATTTACTATCCCTGATAATAGTGCTGAGGAGCAGAAAATCATCCCAAGATTTCCAATAATCATAGTTTGTAGAGATATTGCTGTTAATGCTAATATCATATAGTACTTTCTTTGCCCTAATCCAAATTCTTCAGCTTCTCTAGTGATGGCCTGCATATTTTTTCAAAAATGATTTTCTTACGTCGTCAGGTCATTCAAAAGATACTAAATAAATAAAGAGATTTGTAATCTTGCATGCAAATAGGAGAGGTTACTTGCTATAACACGTTACACGTGAAGAAGATTTGATGGTATCGTGTACATATTCTTTACATGGACAACGTATATCTCTTAAACTCTTAAAGAAAAAGTACTTCTTCCGTGTTAACTTAAGCGTCTTAGTTTAACTTGCATGAAGTTGAAGAAAACTAAAAGAAATCTTTCGATTTTGTGATTTTAAATTGAAAATGTATATATGTAATGTATCAAAATGACCGTTATAGTGTTATGACATATTTAATGCCATAAATTTCAGACATCTTCATTTTTTTTTAAAAAATAATTCATGCCCAATTCATATTACCATAATCATATAAATCGGAATGATAGGATAACATTACTTTATATAGTGTTCACACGACTTTTATGAATTTAAATTCTTTTAACTATTAAATTTTTTATTATAATATGATGATTTCTTTGCCAGACTAATTAATTCCCAATATAAGATAAATAATTTAACTTTTATTAGATCACTAAATAATGACTGCGCATAATAGGCCATAATAAGCATAACCATCTAGTTGCCTCAGAAATAAAGCAAATTAAATAACTGAAATAAAGCAAATTAAATAACTTACACTTAAATGATATAAAAATTGTACTATTTAATTTTAATCTAGTTTATTTAAGGAAAATGCTAAAATAGAATGGATATCGTACGTACATGCCTAATTGATAAGAATACAACTAAGTAATAAAAAAAGTAGGCCCTTTCTAACCGTTTTAAACTTTTGACTGAGACGGTTACCTGGAAATCTTTGTTGATAATCATTGCGACGATACAAAACAAAGCTGAGAACATTGATATAAGAAACTGCATTTGCATAACAAGATCAAACGTGACAACAACTCCAGCTTTAACATGACTATACTCCACTCCTGCATTTACAAATCCATGAAGAGCCGCACCAACAAGTGTCATCACAAACCCTAATGTGTATCGTCGATTCGATTCACCTATCGGACGATCTCCATTCATATGTAGCCCTAATATTATCGAACCTAGCATCATCAACACCACCGCGTTCACGGAATAATCTGTGAACTTATGTTTCACCATGAAATACGCGAAAATCGCGGTGAATGCTAGAGACGTTGAAGAGAGGAGAGAGGAAATCGAAACAGGAAGATATGACATGCCAAAAGTGTAGAGGTAGCTACAAATACCAAGAAGAATACCTAAAATAGCACTAAATATTGCTAATTTAGGTGTGACAAAAAGCCTAATATTATTATTATTGGTAATTTTTTTTCTTTTTTTCACATAAGAAATTGAAATTGGTAGAATCAAGATTGGGAATCCTGCTGTTAGCAAAAATGCTTGCAACCACTTTCTTTTTCCACCATGTAAGTAATAAATTCTAACAAGTAATACACCTGATATTTGGCCAACTGAAATGAAGATACAATTTATGAGAATAAGAAGTGTTTTAATTGACATGAAATTCTTGATTTTCTTACGCTTATCATAGTTTCCCTCTTGCTCTATTTCCATGCCCATAATTTTTTGTGATGTGTTTGAGAGGTATTTGTGGGGGTATATACTTAATTATAGTAGTAGCACTAGGTAGCAAGTTGCAAGAAATGAGAGACTCTCATCTGATGAAATTATTGAGTGTGATGTTACATGTATAACCCAAAGAGGGAAATATTGAAGTGTGTGATCATCTTATTAAAAGCTTAATTAAGCTGTTAGAGAGCATATTTTTATTATTTAATCATATTTTCAACATATCCGCACGTGTGTGGGACTGATTTTTTTTTTCATGAGTCAAGTACGTGAAAATTCTTTTTGATATGGGTGACAGTGAGATTGAATCCCAGGACCTCTGCCTGCTCAGCATTGTCGCTGAAGCAACAAGCATAGTGGAAGCATTGGTGGCAGCTGAAGTTCCCGTCATATTTAGGTTTTTTCTTTTCTTTTCTAAGCATTGTTTTTTTTTTTTTGGCCCTAATACCATGTAAAGTGAACCCCAACGCTACATTCATTAATCATATAGGAGATATTTATACAAGAATTGATACATATACAATTACAAAATAACCCTTAATAGAGGTTTTAACCAATACCATACTTATCAGAAAGCTAGTATTTGTTTGACTTTATATGGGTGTATTTGGCTTTTGAGGGAAAATTTCTTTGGAAAATGTTTTCATTAAGAAAATTTCAGGCTCAAACTCGAGATCATTAATTTAAAAATAGTGAAATTTTATCCAATATTTCACCACAATCATTGATAATATAGTATATATAAAAGTTAAATCCACTTGGATGTCCATAAGATTTGAACGTCCAAAAATTAAAGATAATGATTATTGTCGAATAGATAGACTAGTTGTTGCACAAGCCACTAACGTTGTATAAAGGAAGAAAAGTAGAGTATCCAAATCCTAGTAATAAAGCACTATATAACATCATATAATATATTTTGTGACTTATAATATAGCATCTTTCATAAAAGATATTCAAACTATAGTACTTATGAATTCAATATTAATTGATATACAAAAGCATTGCTAATTAATTATTCTTGATTTAATGAAAGATAAATGTGTTTAAAGTTGAATCTACTTTTGTTGTCAAAATTAAAAAAATGCACCCAATAATTCTTCTAGCTATTATTATGATATTTTGTATTATCTTGTTTTCTTTAGTTTTAAACTTATATTTGAATTTATTTATTTTTAAATTTCTTTTACACTAGTACTATGTGGGATCATTTTCAACCATATGAAAAAGGTGATGTTTCCTTTATTGCGATTTTAAGCTTAACTACTCCTTTAATTTGATAGTGGCATGCCTCATTCATAAATGTTTATTCCACATAAGTACTTCTAGTTTTCTAATATCATTTTCAAGAAACAGCCCATGTAGTCTCTTTTTTATTTATTTACTGCAGGTAGAAAAAATAGGAAAAGGGATTACAAGATGGAGAATAGAATTTTTACCAATAATGTGAAAGTTTAAATCTAGTCAATCCATCAGGGGCATACCAACATTGACCCTATAGTTATATATCACATAAATTCGGCTATACACTATATATACATTATCAATACATTACATATACATTGCATATATATACGACCATTATTATTGAATATTTGTTGCCACCTCATGTATAGCTAGAAAAAACCTACATTTTAGACGGGTTGAGTTATCATTCATTTCGCTTTAACTTGTTCAAGTTTGGCCTAACTCATTTACTTGTCACCCTAGTTTTATAGTAATCATAGATTTAAAGTATGAAACCTAGCTAAGGTTATGAGACAGAAAAAGTAGGTTTCATTTGTTCCTTTATATTAGTATTGAAAATTCTAATATTTTTTTTATGTGAATTAGGCATATATTCATGTCATTACCTTTCGTGGAAAAAGGATCCCACAAACGAGCACTCAACTTCAATTATCAGTTACTCTCTCCGTCCATTTTTTCTTATCTGCTATACTAAAAATTGTTGTCAAACAATACTTGTTCAGTTTGGGAAATTAAGAGATAATTTATTCTTTAGTGTCTATTTTATCCTAGCTATTAAATACTATTCAATATCTAATACATTTCTCAAAACATTGAATTTGATATATTCGTAGGATAATAGAGTAATATTACCCCTATTATTTATTACTCCCTCCGTCCCATTTTATATGTCATCCCTTTCTATAAATAGTTAGTCCATAATACTTGTCATTTCATAAAATCGTTTAGTTTGGGAAATCAAGAGATAATTTATTCTTTAGTGTCTATTTTATCCCAGCTATTAAATACTATTCAATATCTAATACATTTCTCAAAACATTGAATTTGATATATTCGAAGGATAATAGAGTAATATTATCCCTATTATTTATTACTCCCTCCGTCTCATTTTAAATGTCATCCCTTTCTATAAATAGTTGGTCTATAATACTTGTCATTTCATAAAATCAATGCATAAATTACCATACTGTTCCTTTTTTACCCTTGTGAGTTATTAACCTTGAAAATATACATTTGACCAACTTAGAAAAGCTAAGTAAATGATTCATGTTCATTGGTTAAAATTAATTAATCAAAATAAATTAATTCATATTCATTGATTGAAAATTTGAGTTCCAAAAAATTAAATAAGTGTAGAAGGGTAAAGTTACATCATTTCTTAAAGCAAGTGCAAAGTAAAAAGGTGACATATAAAATGAAACGGAGGGAGTATTTCTTAAGGTGTGTGCTAAGTTAATAGTGGAAACTCTTACGTAATTGTACAGGTGGCAATTTATTTTACTAAAATGGTCGTATGACTAATGTATTAATATTGTATAAATAGTATATAATTATGTATATATAATGTATAACTATGTATTTGAGATGTATATATATCCGTATACACTATTTATACAATATTTAATTGGTCCATATATCTTCCCTTTTTCCTATTCTTTTTGTTGAATGAACTTGAACATTCTATCTTAGGGACCCTTGCTTATTAAGAAATCAAAAGACAAGATTTAAATTTCCTTGGCATATGATTTGAATTTTTTTTTAAAAATTCTGGCTCTATCACTATACATACATACTCAACATGCTGACATTGCTTAAAAAATAATGCAAAATAAACATCAATTTACGATAAAAATAAAATAAACGTTGTAAAAGAAGTACCCCACAACCCAAACTCCCATACTGACAAAGATAATACTAATAAATTACTTATATAAAATTCTGCGTACATTACTGACTAAAATTATAACATTAATGTTACTCAAACTTGGTCTGGCAGGGTAGCATGTTTGTTTTTTGTAACCTTGTTGGTCATGCTATCTTTATATTCTCCATAGAAATAAGAAGCAAAACCCCAAAGACACATAGCTAAAGCCATCCACTTATCAGAATTGAAGCTCTCAGGCAAGAAAATGACAGCAAATATTTGTTGTATTGGAACAAGAAGTGCATTTACTATCCCAAACAATAGTGCTGAGGAGCAGTAAATCATTCCAAGATATCCAATCATCATAGACTGTAGAGATATTGCTGATAGTGCTAATATCATATAGTACTTTCTTTGCCCTAATCCAAATTCTTCAGCTTCTCTAGTGATGGCCTGCATATTTTTATGAAATATTTTCTTACACCATCAGCCGTCAGGTCATTCAAATGATATTTATAGGTGAATAATATTCTTAATATGTGGGATATGCAATTTTATAAATAAGACAAGTTACCAGCTATAACAGATGAAAAGGACTTGATAATGTAAATATTCAATACATCAACGACGTATATATTTTAAACTCTCAATATTAATTTAAGTGTCTTAGAGTGTAAAAATACTAAAAGATATTTTTTAATTTTGAAATCTTAAATTAGAGATGTTTGAATCTTATGATCTTAAAAAAGTTAGGTAAAATATTGAAATATTAGAGAGTTACCCAATATAGAAAAAGAATAATATTTTTTTAAACCCACTAAAAAGAGTAAAATGCTATGATTGAAGATATCCCCTTGATTATCTTTGAAAATAATTAAATAAAAGTTATTTTTAATTCTTTTTCCCCTTTATGTTGCTCTACATATTTCCACTATAGATGCCACTCTTTCTGCTTTACTATACTATTGAAAATTGATACTTCTTGATCATCTTTTGAAAAGGAAACCTTTTTTCTTACCACTCAAAAAAAAAAGTTTTTTATTATGTGATCACTCTTATAAATTAAGAGAAAGAAAGCTCATGTCATTGGTAACTCTACTTTTTTTTATTTCCTTTTGTATACTAATCCCACACTTCCACTATTTAGTTATTGCACTTCTTTTTTTGCTGTGGGATGCTCCAAAAAGTTTGAAACAATTTCATTGATAATACTATTTTTTTCTTTATAGAAGAATAGCAGATTTTTATATTTAAAATTTAAAAATATTTATTTTTAACTTTTCATCTTATCCTTTACTAAGATTTTGAAACTTTAATAGTTACAAATATTATGGCATATTTAACATCAAAAGTTTTCAAAACAATTTAACCATACGAATATTATGATATCTTTAATATTATAAATTTAAAAAAATCTTTATTTATTTCGTCGTAAATTTTGTGCTAGATTCAAACTGTCACACAAATCGGAACAAACAGATAGTAGTACTTGCAAAACTATATTGCATAATTCTTTTGATTATTAATTTTTATATGATATTTTCTTTGCCAGACTAATTAATTTCTCATATAAGATAAATAATTTGACTTTTATAACTGACAGTATAAAAGAATTTTTATATACACTATTATATCACTTAAAAATAACTACGGATAATAGCTCATAATAACATGTTATAATACACTAAATTACACTTATAATATAAAGTTTATATATACTTCTAATTTGCTAGTTTATAAAAGTAAAATGCTAAAATAACATGCCTAAATGTTAAAAATACAACTAAGTAACAAAAAGTTACATTTTTTCTAATAGCTTAAATTTTTGAGTGAGACGTATTACCTGAAAATCTCTGTTGATAATCATGGCGACGATACAAAACAAAGATGAGAACATGGATATAAGAAACTGTATTTGCATGACAAGATCAAAGGTGACAACAACTCCAGCTTTAACATGACTATACTCAACTCCTGCATTTATAAATCCATGAAGAGCCGCACCAATAATTATCATCACAAACCCTAACG